TTGTTAGTGCGTGCCTTTCTCGGGAGGGTCGGGCGTCCTCATATTTGATGGAACTTGCTATGTCTCCTCTGCACTGGCCTCCATAGTTTTCTGAAGCTGTTTTCGTTGGCAAATATTTTAAGTTACTGGTGCTGCGGTTGGGCTTATGTTCTCACTCTTTGGCCGAATCAACAAACCCCTGACAAAATCCTAAGCCCTATAAACACAAAACCCAAAGCCAAACTCTAAAACCTAAACCAAACCCGAAGCCCTGAATCCTAAAACCGTGACTGAACACCGACAAGAAACCCACCATTTTGAGGTTCCTTATTATGACTTCCTTGTACAAGTCTAACAAAATTAGGTCCTTTGGGGTGCAGGTACCCATAGGCTCCATAGTAGTTCCTTTTTGGAACTCATATTCAAGATCCTATCAGGTAATCCCCAAAAGGAACGACTATGGAGCCTACAGTAGAAGCCCAAAAGTTGGAAACTCCATAGCCTCACTCCTTAAGAGCAATGTATAAGGAATCCCAGTACGAATTGTCCTCAATCCGGCTTCCAACTTTTTGGTGCTTACTGTATGGGAAATCCCTAACATCAGAGAACCCGAGGGCCGATCGGCCGGAGGAGACCCCGATGAGGAGGACGAAGAGACAGATCTGCCTCGAATCTGCGGTTTAGGGTTTAGGGGTTTAGGGTTTCGGGGTTTCTGGGTTTAGGGGTTTATTGGTTTAGGGGTTTAGGGTTTAGTATTTAGGGGTTTAGGGGTTTAGGGTAGAGAGTTTAGGGCCGCCGAGGCCTCAAAACTTAGAAAAAGGTGATATAGTGGCTCCTGTAAGGCATAGAGGCCGGAATTTTTGGAACAAACATGTCTAGGACCCAATTAAGGGTTCCTATGTCATTATACTGGTTGCTGCACGGTTCTCGCAGGGCCGGGCCTTTATGATTAGAACAGGGCTTGGTGGCAAAATGGAGCATACTTCTACTTTCGACCCTGCTTCCTTTATCTTGCATAGTTAATTAAGGTTACCTGCAAAAGGCTCCACAAGAGTCTAAGAGGGTGTTGTACGGGTTTTATAAAGGCTATGTACAGCCATTGAGCCCGCAAATGTGGACACTTTTCCGGGTTATCATGTCTTGAAAAAATACGACCCCCCCCAACCCTTACCATAAAACAGGTTATCCAAACAGAAGCTGCTACAATTCGGGATCTAGGCAGGGTTCCCGTTATGATACGGACTTCCGATGCAGCTCAATATGAGGCTTTAGGTTTGGGGTCTTCGGCTTTGGTTAGGGTTTAGGGTTTAGGGTTTAGGGGGGGTTAAGTTTGGTGGGGATCAGTTCACAGAAAGGTTTGGTGTCTACCGCTGTGGTCTTTGGTTTGCGGCCTGGAATGGTAAAGGCCTTTCGATGCAGTTGAATTTAAGCATTAGAGTCGTGGTTAGGGGTTAGGGCTAGGGGTAGTATCCGCTAAGGTGCTACATGGCCTAGAGTCTAAGTCCTAAACCCGCTGTTAAGAACCCACACACTCGGTGAAGATGGCTCGTTTCGATTCCGGCTACACCTGTTAAACAAAAACAGACCAGCTTTCTCAAGGCAAGCACGAACACGGTACTCCGCAATCTAACTCTAGCAGTCGCGATAATATCCTCAAGGTCCTTGTGACTCACGACTATCAGAAGACAAGAATCCCACACCATGGCAAAAGCGGATCAAGCTTGATGCCGACGAAACCTAGACGAGCCCACCAATCCAAACGCTGCGGCACAGTGAAGCCCTGGATAAGCACAGTTCATGCTTCAGGATCTTTGGCACTGACACATACTCTAAAGTGGGAAGCCTTCGTCGGACAAAATTCGATTGGTGGCAGGTTAATTAACTGGTGATTAAGTCGCATGTTTAATTACCGTTATCACAGTAAACTTCACCCTTCGCATGAACAATCAGGTCTGGCAGAGTTTGCCTCATGTCGGCAACGGCCTCCCCTCTTTCAAGTGCAATCCCGGGAGAGGGCGTCTTGATTTCAGGATGTGACACAGGACCATGGATGCGGATTCGACATCTGGTCCGACCATGAAAGCCGATCTCGGCTTCTTTTGCGTTCTGGCATCAAACAAGTTGTTCTCCTTGCAGCAGAGTCTTCACATCATCGGCCCGACCATTGACCATGCAAGCCGACTTTTTCTGTTTTTTCGTATCCTTCCATCTGCTCTCCTCGAAGGAGTTCGCTTGCCAGAGTCGGAGGACTGATTGCGAGGCTCTGGCCCTTGCTGTGCCACGGACCAAAGTCGTTGTCCTGACTTCTGCGGATTTCGATCAGCTCAGCTTGCAGAAAGCCCAAGCGTCTGGAACCCTGAGTCCAACTATTCTGAGCTCTCGATGCTCCAGCCTTCATATCTAGCCCGGGAAGACCCGTCGCTACCCCAGCCCTGAGAACCCAAAGCATAACCTAAGCACTAAAGCGTTACCCAAAATCCATGAGCGTCCGAAATCTTCACCCTAACTCAGACTGTGAAAAACTCAAACTTCCCTGGAAGCCTGGTTACCTATCGAAGTGGTTCTGGCCCATGGTTTTATGACAGTAACATGCTGTAATATGTGAAGAGCTTCAGAAATGACCTATAACCGGAAGGAGACTTGATATAAGCATCCAATCCCGAAGCTCTAATCTAAGCCCTCAAACCCCACATCCAAAACTGTAAACCCGAAACCCCAACAACACGTCAAGTTCCCGAAATCCTGCACCCCTGAACCTTTAAACCCTAAAGCTCTACTTGGAGGTTCAGGGGTAGTTATGAATGGGCGTAAATCCCTAATATGGGTTGTAAGTACAGCTACCCTACTTATAACCCTACCTATAACTACCCATGAACCCCTGAACCCCAAAGTTCTAGGGCTGGGCTTGCTACCTGTCGGAGTGCCCTCCCCCTGAGCCGTGTCTGCGGTTGCTCGCCGAGACGGCGCCTGGACGACAAGGATTTTAGGGTTCGGGGGGTTTAGGGTTTAGGGGGTTAGGATTTGGGGTTTAGGGTGCTTTAGGGCTTGGGGGGTTTAGTTTAGGGTTTGGGGCTCAGGGTTTAGGAAGCTACGCATGTATATACTGAGTCACAGAATGCCTCTTGTTAATACTACAGTAGTCTTCTCAAAGCAACATAAATATCGGAGCGCCGCACTAAACCCGAACTGCCTAAGCGCGACACCCCTGAAGCACTGAACTCCATAGAAGCTTTTATCGTACAGGCACTGCTTGTAAAATTCCCGTCAACCTCGACAGGAACCACCCAAAACGTTAAAACCCAAACATCTAACAAGACCATCCAAGATATCCAAAATAGAACCCTATGGCCCTGGAGTAGGAAGAATACCGGGCCGGCGCAGAGCTTCAGGTTTAAGAGTTCTTTTGATGGATCCCTGATAGAGGCTTTTAGGCGTTTACGTACATGATTCTTAGGTACTACGGTTGATGGTATAAATCCTGCATTACCCATAATAAGGAATATATGGGAATTATGGTATATTCCTTATTTTGAGTAATGCAGGATTTATACCATCAACCGTAGGACCATTAGGGAAATATGCACCGGTCACCTCGGCCTGGCCGCAGTGATAATGCGTGCAGCTGGAGTTCCTGCAAAGCAGGGCGAGGGACCGGGACTTGGGGTTTTAGGGTTTAGGGTTTAGGGGTTTAGGGTGGAGTTTAGGGTTTAGGGTTTTAGGGTTTTGGGTTTAGGAACTTGGGGTGAGAACGTGTGCATGTGGAGATTCTGTAAAAAATGGAGAGCAGTTGCGCATAGAGCCGAAAACCCCGAAAGCGAGACCATCAGTTCACATAGATGAGAATCTACAAACCCAACAACTTGTCGTTCAGGGGCTTGCAACCAAGACTGCAATACGAGACCTTTTGGGATTAGCAGAAAATGATAGGCACCCATGCACCATGCCCTAGACTAACCAGGGAGTTGCTGGGGAATCGAGAACTACGACTTGATGCTCTGAAGGTCCGCTAATGCGATTCATGGTCAGCCTATCGTAGGGAATCTTGGGGGGGGATAGGGGGAGGGAGGGACTATGCTTCCCTAGGTGTCCATATTATCGGTCTTAGGGCCCTCTACCCCCCTCCCCCCTACCCCTTGAAGGGTCTCCATGAGTCTAGGAAGCTGAACAATTTCCCACTACTATCCCTCATATTCATGATACCAGCTAAACTATGCTAGTGTAACCCAGAGGCTCCACATATACTACCACTATGAGATTAGGTCCTTGAAACCATAATTATGCCATAATTAAGAATGGTCTTCTGGGACCTACTTCCATAATGGTAGTATATATGGAGTCTCGAGGTAATATACTCCGCAACCCGACATATATATATATATGTAACATATATATATATACATATATATATATATATATATATATGTATGTATGTATGTATATATATATATATATATATATATATATATATGTATATGTATATGTATATGTATATGTATATGCATATGTATATGTATATGTATATGTATATGTATATGTATATATACACATACTAGAAGTTCAGGCATGCAGCTGCTACCTCAACTTTAAGACATCTGGATCAGGGTGAGAGCAGGTCGGCGCCCTATACGTTTAACTCCAAAGCCTCAGGTACCCGAAAGCCTGAACTCCAAACTTTTCGTCCGAAGCACCCCCCCCAAACCCTTAACCTTCTTTACCCTAAGGGTCCATGTACTCATACAGTATATACATTGGCCTTAGTTTAGTCCCTATATAGGTACTTCGGGGCTCACGTATCTCTATATGGGCACATGGACCCTTAGGGTTACAAACGCTCATCCTTTAGCCCTCATCCCAAAAACCCTACTTAGAGGATCATGGGACTTAGTAAGTAGGTTAAAATTGGAGTTATAAGTCCCCTAAGTGGGGTTATCCTATTTATAACCTACTTATAACCTTACTTACTAGGTCCCAAAAACCTTAAACCCTGCAATGTTTACGCAGTGCAGAGACGCACTCCCAGCCTGCTCTTCTCCTGCGCGCAGATGAAACACCACTCCGCCTCCGACCAGGTTCACTTGAGGTCTTATAGGGTTTAGGGGTGGGTGTACTTGCTCCCGAGAGTCCTCTGCTTTTTTGTTCTGGCACGTGTAGGGTACCTTTGCTGCGGGCCACCGCGCGATGGGTGCTCCGGACTCCGCACACAGGATCCATGACGTTTGTTCGTTCTCAGCGTCCTGCTGCTGCAGCTGCACCAGCTGTTTCGCATGGAGGAGATGACGAACTCCTCTGGGTCATGTGATTCCAACGAACACAACACATCCTAGTACACTTTCGAGCTGGCGGCTCTGGGTTACAGGCAAGCAAAGGGAACTCCAGAAAGTTGGAATATGGATTAATGGTAGGATCCCCTATAATTTATGTTAAAGGGGTTACGATAATGATATTCCAACTTTCTGGCTTCTACCGTAAAGCCTTAAACACGGAAAGAAGGTCTTCATTGAAACTATTATTGCTATTGCTACTATTAATACTATTATTACTATTATTATAACTATTATTTATTACTATTTTTTATTACTATTATTATTACTATTATTCTTACTATTAACATTGAAATACATAGATACAGTCGCCTTGAGAGCTCTCGGACGGTAAACAAACACTGATAACCTTAACCTCGGTTCAGGGTTTAGGGTTTAGGGGTTTAGGGGTTTAGGGGTTTAGGGGTTTAGGGTTTAGGGGTTTAGGGGTTTAGGGGTTTAGGGTTTAGGGGTTTAGGGGTTTAGGGCTTCAGGGGTTTAGGGTTTAGGGGTTTAGGGGTTTAGGGGTTTAGGGTTCAGGGTTTAGGGTTTAGGGTTTAGGGGAGGCAGTATAGGAAGCAGCCTGACATACCGGTAAGTTAAAAGAGGCTTATAGCACTTACAATTACATGTTCAGGGTCTGTTACAGGGTAGCCGGTGAGCATAGGCACCCCGAACCCTAAACCCCACAATCTGCTTAGCCTAAGCCCTTAACTCCAAACACCCTAGTGCCTAAACCTTCAACACGAAACCCCTAAACCCTAGAACCCAACTCGACATCTGCTCATACACCCGAACCGTTTCAGGGTTTAGCCTTTGATTCACGGGACCGAACCCCACGCCTAAACCCTGAACCCCTAAACCCTAAACCTTAAACCCCTAAACCCTAAACCCCCCCACACACCTAACCCCCGGCCCACCCTGCATATTGTGCAGGTCATGATGTTGCAGCCATCAACCTCGGCGGCACAGCTGCTGGGATGGGGCGGTTAGGGTTTAGGGTTTAGGCATTCTGGCAAGTAGACTAGGCTTGAGTTTAGGGATCAGGATGTTTGGGATTCTGGGGTTAATGGCCTGGAATGGCGTTAGGATGAGTTTAAGTTGTCTCCCTTGGCATATATAAGCTTGCACATCCAAAACCTGCCCTACATCCTAAACCTTTTGCACACAGCCACACCCTGCTGCTTACAATCCTAGACATGGAAATCCATGTTCATCGTGAAACCCCTACCTTCAGCTATCAATCCCATACCCGAAATCTTAGGATCAGCATTCTTTTAAGGAAGCGCTTCCATATGAAGCCTCGGCTCCACACCAACAGGCAAAAACACAACCTGAACCCTGTCCGCTTTGGGATTTGGGGGTTTAGGGTTCAGGGTGTCCATCTGAAGCAAGAGACCCCGTCGGAATGCCTTTGGGTGTATAGGCTCAGCTATTCGGAACACAATTGTTTAGTGTGCCTTTAAAAAAGCGATCTGTCGCCACCGACACAATCGTCAGGTGCACTCTGACAACCCACCGACACAAGCCCCGTGGTTGGTACGACCTTGGGGGGCATGAGGGCCCAAGTCCCTCCATAAACGGCAAAGCTTCCACGGCCCCGTGCAGAGGCTGTTTAGTGAACCCCCAAATAACACTCAGATGAACTTGGCGACTAAAGCCTAACAACACTCCACAAAAAGGACCCAAACGGAGAATGCTAGGTCAATCCCAGAGCTCTGAAGTCGTAGCCTGAAGCCCTAAATCAGGACCCTGACCTGAAGCTCCACCCCTACAATAAGCCCCAGAATAACCTTTTGTAGATCCTGAACCCGAAAAACCTAAAATGCGCTAAACCCAGAAGCGCCTGGGTCCGTATGAGGAACCCACTGTTTAGGGTTTAGGGGTTTCGGGTTTAGGGTTTAGGGTTTAAGGTTTAGGGTTACTGCCAAGGACAGCAAACTGATTGCCATCTATACCTACTGTAACGACATGTGGAGTTCAGCTTTAAAGCCTTTCGAACACTTCTAAACACCCGTATGTAAAGAAGCGTGTTTTATACTCAGGCCGCATACACCGCCCGATACAGTGTGCAACCGCTCCAAGCTAAAACGCCTAAACCCTAAACCAGAACCTTGAACCTTAACCTATTCCTTTTACCAAGAAACCGATCTGCAAAAACATCGTAGTATCTGCTAAAAAGATCCCTTTGCCACCCGGTTTGAAATCCCATCATGAACAAGTCTAGACTCATGTAGCCCCATGCCAAAAAATCAGACGACAATACTAAAGTCCTTGTAAACCTTATCAAAAGATGGAAAGCCTGGTCAAATGCTACTCAAATCAGAGATCCGGACCCGATCGGTGGGGTGACGGCAGCGCGGGCAGTTTTTGATGGGCGTTTGGCCGTCCCTGCAAGCATTCTGTTCCTACCATTAACCTCTAATTACATATACTTCTACCTTAACCCCAAATAAACCTACCCTTCAAAGGACAAAAGGTGGGGAAATCATGATACCGAAAAAAGGTAGGTAGGATGGTTTGCGGAAAGCCCTAAAAGAAGTCCCAGAGAATGGCTTTCTGCATCTGACCCCAGGTTTCATACTTAGAGGATCATGGGACTTAGTAAGTAGGTTATAATTGGGGTTATAAGCCCCCTAACTGGGGTTATCCTAATTATAACCTACTTATAACCTTACTTACTAAGTCCCATGAGCCTTCAAGTAGGTTTAGTTTCGGCCGGAAGGTTCGACGCAAATGCTTCGTTCCCGGGGTTTTTGCAGGGGTTGGGGCCTGTGCAGACTGGGGTTGAGGGCTTAGTTTGGGTGGTATGCTGGCACGTTCAGGAAGTATGGAAACCCGTGGTGCTGAACCTCGCCCACGTAATAGGTTTGCGTTTTGGGGTTCAGGGCTTAGCCCCTCTTCTGACTGTTTTGGGACCGATAGGAAACCCTTCCTAAGGCCCTGCATACAGACTCCCATTATCAGACCTATTGGGCCGCATGCCCTTGTCTATACTTCTTGTATAGAGACTTTACAGCTAGTGTACTGATTACTGATTAGTCACACCTCCATAATTGCGATCATACCCTACACCAGTGTATGAGCATGGTCTATTTTTGGTGGAGTCCCTATACATGTCGAGATCAGGCTCACATAAGAGCATTACAACAAGTAGGCTATGGTGGTTTAAAGTCGAGCTCAAGAGTAAAGTAATCATAAAAGCTTTTTTACGTAAGCTGAGCCATGTATCTTAAATTTAAGGTATACCCGAAACTAGCCATGAACACCGGTCTGCCTCCGCTGCGCATTGAGGTTCCTTGGCTGTGTGCGGCATTCTTATGGCACAGATATGAGGGTGGCTATAACAACATTTCAAACACCAAACAAACCCCTGACCTCACTACATCCCTAAACATCTTCATCCTCATGGTCTGCATAAAGCCCTTACAGCACCCCATAGTGTGTTCTAGAACTCTCATAGAACCCTTGCATCCCCCAACACAACATGAAACCAACAAAAAAACCCTATGAAGACCATACAAGACCCCACAGGCTTTTAAGAGCCTCTTGAGTGAGCCATCGCCCCCCTAAACCCTAAACCCTAAAAGCAAAACGAAAAACCCTAAACCCCGAACCCAAACCACCAAAAAATAACCTGAGCCCAGGCACTCTAACTCGCGCATGGTCGCCGTGTTCCGGCGACGGCCCAGCAAAACTCGCTCCTGAGGGAGCGTTCTTTAAAGTCTCCATGGCTCCTTTTTGGGGCGACCCTAGAAGATCCTACCTATAGGCTCATACCCTACCCCTGTTTTTAGGGTACCTAGCTTTTTACAGAGGAGATCCTCACCATAAAACTAGGTAACCTAAACAAGAGGTAGGGTATGACCCTCTAGGTTGGCTCCCTCATGGGCCTATTCCGAGGGCCTGAGGGTTCCTTGGAGTTTCCTGCGAGGGCTCTTGGGTCCAAAAAGGGATCCTCGAATGTAGGATTTGGGCATTGGGATTAAGGGTTTGGGGTCTACCTAAACCCCCCAAAGTAAGCAAAATAATGGCCCAACACCTTTACGAGGCAGTTATGGGGAAGTTCTAAACGGCTTCAGGTTCTGGGGTCAGGCGTTCAGGGTCCTAGAGTGCCAACCTTGGGGCGTCATGTGCCCAAGTAGTATATACTTTGGCCTGATGGTAGTCCCTACATGGGTACTTTCGGGCCGAAGTATATACTTTCTCTGGGCACGCTGACTCTCAGAAGTTTATACGAGTTCTATAATCAGGATTCTGTAGGGATTTTGGTGCTTAGGGGCTTTGGCTTTCGTGCATTTCTGCCATAACGGACTTCTGAATTCCTTGGCGTTTTCCCAGATTACCCTCACCCCCCACACCTAAACCCGTTCTTGTCTTTATGATTTGAGTAGTTCTCTAAATTCAGGTCCAAAGAAAGGTCCTTTTCATAAGGGTGCCGTACTATTATTTGGGGGACCTGAAAAATATAGGGTCTTGGGGTTTAGCATCTAGCTCTTTTGGCCCATGATTCTGGGATTCCAGGTTTTGGGCTGAGCGCCGACAGTGCGGCTTTTGGACCAAGTCCTGCAGGGTTGGGGTCAAGAAGATCGCATGTGTGGGGGATTTTTCTTTCTAGTTGAAGCTGCATTGTGGGAACAAGAGGTCCGAATGTGCAGAATCCGGTCGTTCATATCAGGCGCTGAAGGTAGAGAGCTCTGCGGATTTGGCTCACGTGGGATGAGAAAGAAAAGGTTTATGGGGAGTGGGCTGTGACACAAAGGATTCCCCATTAAGACCTGTAATATAGGGGCCTGGATAATTACCAATACTATTCATTTATTTAGTATGTCATATTTTTGGTGGGTGTTCCTTACTGGGCCCCAAAACCCTATTCTAATAATTAGGTTCCTATTTTACGCGTAAACACCGGTCCACCCTAATCGAACTAAGCTCAAGACTCGAGACAAACATCTCACCCTGACGTGTTAACATCTGAAACCCCTAAATCCCAAGTCAAAGCCCTACCCTACCTGGACCCCAAAGTATGTAGAATAATAGCCTTTTAGGGGAGTTGGGCCATTATTTTACCTACTTTGGGGGGGTTTAAGCAAACCCGAGAGCGCTGAATACCAAAATCCAAGATAGATGCCAACAGCTGCCAGAGGGTTGCCTGCTATGTTTGCATAGGCCTTCAATCCTAGCCGTAAACAAGGCCACTTTACCGGACATCTCTGCATCCAGGCGACGTATTCAAACTGGATAGCCCGATGCCACGCCGCATCTGCAGAAGCATGGACGCTGAGGGCTTTAAGACTCTCAGCCCGAACTCCAGAGCACTGATCTCTACAACTGTCAAACGGTGAGTACCGACATCCTACGGCCTTGAAAACATGAGGACCAAGTTCAAAACCTCAACGCTAAATCTTACATGATCTATGTTGAGGCTGTCTAGGCAGAGGAGTTCGGCGGCAGGTTTAAGACTTGCTGTTTGCTTCAGCTGCCCTGTAAACCTCAGCCATCTATGTCTATGTACTGCGGATCTCTTTAAGCCCGAAAATCTACAAAGGGCAACCTGGAGAACAGTGTATGTGACAGGGTTCAGGACACCTGTAAGTATCTCTCCCACATGCCTACATAACCACAGCCCGAATCCAATTCATCTAATTGAAGGTCCTTTGAGCTTTTGGACCCTTAAGTTAAGCTAGGGTTTGCATTGTACCGTCTTGGGACCCATGGACGGCTGATGTTTCCAGAAACAGACAGAACCACTAGGCATTAGAGTAACCTAGGAATCTCAAAGGGTGCCCTTTTTGGTTTAAAGGGGGTTACAAGGTAACCTAAATCCTAAAAAGGGAATAAGGGCCTCTTCTGGGTCCTAGACCATTTTAGCCGCCGGAGATGAGGTCTTGGGGCTGCCCCAGGTTTTGCAGCGAAGCCCAGAAAGTGGGAACATGGGTCACCCAGAGAGCCCAATACCCCTTAGTCAAGGAATGTAGCTTAATTCACAATATGAAGTCCCTAATGATTTCAGGTATATTCCTTAATTAAGGGATATTGGGGCTCTGTGGGAAAGGATGAGAAATGCTCAGATTCCCTGTTCCTTACTTTTACGGACGGGCATGAGGATCATGATGTGCCAACTTCCTGGCTTCTGCTTCAGCGGCTGCGCGTTTTGGGTCCAGGGGTCTAAGCCTTTCAGAGCGCCGGGCTCCACCTAACACCCCCTCCAAGAAAAAACTGCCGAACATAAAACGCAATTCTTCTACATAGGCTAGGGCCAAACATCCGGTTTTGGGTGGGATCAACTCCTAGACCTGATCTACGGAACTAGTTTCAGAAACTGAGGGATCGTAAGACAAGCCCTAAGTAATTCCACAATGTGAGGGTTTCGGGTTACAAGTTGTGAGTTTCTCAAACTCCCAAAGCCCATTAAGAAACGCAGCCGGAACAGCGACTGCGCAGGCCTTCGCCTTGTTCTTCGGGTCGGTTTTCTGCCCGATGCTCCTGCGAGGACTGTCGTCGCATGTGTTCGCTTGTTGGCTCTGCGCTATCTACCCCAATCCATGTTGAGCCGTCAACGAGAGCTGCCAGCATGCCCTCGCAGGCTTGCGGTCGCCATTTTATGACTTTGTCCCTTAAGCTCCAACCACAGAAACTAACATGTCTGGAACTCCCCATCATGATCTTCTTATGAATGTCCTGAAAAAGACAGGTTTTCAAAAGCTGCACCATTGGCAAAAAGTTTCACCAAGGCCACCCAAGAGCCCTTTAATAGAGCCCTCGTGATTGTGGTCCTTAAAACGAGTATAATAAAGGGTAGTTGGGGGTCTAGGAACCCCTAAACCCTATAGTGGCCTCAACTGAACTGCACTAATGCCCTGAACCGTAGACCCGCTCTGAACCCTTTCAGAGTCCTGGAGCATGTTCAGAAGCCGTAACCTGTCACACAGGCAGTGAATAAGGCAATGAAGGCTTCACAATCCTTCACATGCTTTTGTGCTGCATATACCGCTTCTGGCGGTTTGGGTGTTTTGCTTTTGGTACAAGAGCATTGGGATTTCATACGAGCTTCTTCAGAAGAAATACTTCAACCGAGCCACACACGAACCCAAGTACTCTGGACCTAGAGGTTTATGATGACTTTCCTGGCAAGCCCTCGGAAAGGGATGCAACCACCTCAAGGACAAGGTGGCTCTTTAACAGAAGGGCCTTATAGGCCCTTATTCTCTTAATCCGTATATGGTTATTTCACTTGAACCGTAAAGCCTTTTGGCGCACACCTCTGCGCGAGGTTCTACATGTCTTCCTGGAGCAACAGTAGTGTGTTTTGGTCTTATGGAGGCAGTGTGGGGTTTCACAGGGGTTTAAAGTTTACAGGGTCCAAAGGACCCAATGTTTCGGCACTTGGGCGTTTAGGACATTAGTTTCGTAGGTGAGTGTGTGTGATTCACCTTTGGGGGAGATCTAGTTTAGTTTCGATCCCCAATACAATACGGCAGCCTTATCAAAAGGACCCAACAAGCTTTAGAGAACAACCAGTAGTTACTTGGACCCCTAAGGGAAACCACTGAAAAATGCTCCTGCAGCCAGGATCTCGGACACTACTGTAGACTCTAGACAAGAGCTTTGCTCCGAAATTCTGCTGATTCTTCCCCAGTCCCTTGAACCATAAACGCCAAATGTGCCGAAACCCATCCTGGAACTCTAAAACCCCATAGAACCCGATGCAACCCCTGTAGAACCAAAAAATGAAGCACCACAGCCCCTACCCTATGCAAGCCCAGGAAAAAAGACAACCGAATTTGATGGCGAACCGAGGAACTCCGGGCAAACAACGGCTGGGTCTTCGAGGTTTGGTAGTCCGCGGAGCCTTGCCGTTTTTCCGGTTCTTGTTTTGGAGTTTAATTTTGAGTTAAAATGCTAGGGATTTAAAGCAATGAAGATGGTTTCCTGACTACGGTAATTAATCCAAACTGGATTCCTTTACAGGAACCCAGTCTTGTGGCTCAGGCTTTTAGGGCTTGGGGTTCGGGGTTTAGGGCTTTGGGGCTTGTGCATTGGGGTTTAAGGCTTGGGTTTTGCGGCTTGGTAGGCTTATCTTGGAAGCCCTTTAAGCCTTTCAGCATCGCAATTTTTTTCCCTCATGGACGTACTTTGTTCATAACAGTAGAAGCTGTGTGTTGGGGCAAGTTTCATGTTTGGGGCCTGTACAAGGTGGGTCTAACCGTTGGGGCATAAATAGTTGAAGGGATGGTTTGCAGGGCCTAGAGATCCATTTTCAAGGTTTGGGGTTTGGTGAGGTTAGTCCCTACGGTTTTTCGGATTGGCATTAGTTAAGGCTTGAAGGTTCAGCCACGGTTCGCCTCGGGGGATTCTGTGTTCAGAGCTCCGGATTTAGTTCTCCGGGTCTTATAGGACCTCATATTTGGGCTGCAGGATGGTGGTGACGGACGACGGCTGTGACAAAAAAGATGGATAACACGAGTGACGGGTGTGACAGTGGCGATGCTGCTGCTGATGATGATTATGAGGACGAAGAAGACATCTTGAAACTATGACTCCTCCTGTTGGTAGCACATGAACCGTAAATTGGTGTAGTAAATCCTTGAGCCACGCTTGATTTGCTCACGCTGGAAAGCCCGTAAAATTGTCTTCCGGTTTTAACAACATCCGACGGGGACAGTGAGTATCACGCTATGACGTTTTCACCATCTCCGCATCTCGTTGCAACGGCATTGACAGGCATATTGCGACTCTGGTGTCCGCTACACCGCCGCTTGAATTCACTTCGCTAAACCTTAACCCAAATCCTAAACTTCCTAAGCCTAAGAGGAATACACTAAACCCAAAATAATCCTTCTGGCAATCATCTAGACCTGGACCCTGCTTGGAATGTTCATGACCTTAGCCCCCTCCGGAAGTGCACGGTTCTTGTTGCAAGGCGTGAATGTCGCCGGGGATATACGCATGAAATTTGGGGTAACAATCCCTCAAGTGTAATAGGCTCGTCGGGGCTTCTGCAGGGTGTTGTGGTAGGGAAGCCCTGCTTTTCTGTTTGTGGTCGCTGATGCAGTATTCCTCGAGGTGTATCAGGCAGCCCCATCGTGACTTATGCAAGGCGTCGTTCTTTCGGGGGATCTTCTTTTCTGCACGTTATCCTGAATGAGGAGAAACTTCTTCCAAGCCATCACCAGCTGAGCAGCAGCAGTTGTGTCTGCTGTTGGTTGAGGCCAACTCCTGCGACACTGTGCGCGGCTGGGTACTATACATACGAATGCAGGGTTAGCCCTGAACTTTCTGCAGCCGAAAGCCTAACATGCATGAACTCCAGAACCAGGAGGATTCGGATTTGACAGGTCTTGTTCATGGCACACCCTAAACCCTACACCCTAACAAATCCTTCAGGATGCTAAAGAAGGGTTGCGAGGCCTGACATGGGGACCAAATCGCGGTTCCCTGCCGTTACAGGGCGCTCGATGGTCGCAACGGGTACAATAAGGAACAAGTTTGCTGACTATCCAGGTTCCTACCAGAAGCGGTTTCATGCCCGTCTACGGAATCCTGCAGAACCTTAAACCACTAACCGTAATGCCGATGCTGAAGTCTTGTAGAAACGGTATCAAGCTTCCCGGAGACTGCAACACCCCTGGACTACGGAATGAACAAACATGCAATACAATCTAAGTTTTATTTGTACATATACATAAATATAATATACACACTATGTTTACCTGTATTTGTTTTATTTGTTTTTAAGATACATGTATGCCTTGTTTATGTAAGTATGCATACTATATATTTATACGTACACATATATATATATATACACATGTGTGACAGGAATCATATCAAGGATCACTCTGTAGCGTAATAGGGAGTACTTCACAGCTCAAACTTGCGGCTTTGGGTCGACATGAGAGCTTTTGCAGGCCTTGCATGCTCAAGCCTTGGCCTAATTTCCAGCAGGTTGCCCCAACCCAAGAAAGACTCCTACACGCTATTACTTGGAGGTTGATGGGTCGTTAGAAGTAGGGTTATCAGTAGGGTAGCTATACTTCTGGCCCACATGAGGGGGCGCATAACCCCACTTATAGCGGCCTATGAACCTCCAAGTACCCCCCATATCCTGAGCCTGAACCATGCATTTTACTCCCTAAACCCTAAACCCTAAACCCCAGAAAGCAATGAATTCGCTCCGTCGAGCCGTGCACGGGCTGCTTCGGGCCCGAGCATGCCCACGGTGGCCGCCACCTGAAACTTCGGGTTCAGCGTTTAGGGTCAAGGGTTTAGGGTTTAGGGTTTAGGGTCAAGGGTTTAGGGTTTAGGGCCAACTGTAATCGAGGGGTTAAGATTTAGGGTAACTTCGAGTCTCCGTATCAATCAGCACAGATTCCTATCAGTTGCTTGAAGACTTCCGTTAAGCACTTAAGGGTTCAGTTGGTCCTTGAGGATCCAAGGCTTGGAGACTTAATGGTTCAGGCCTAAAGTGTCGAACATGATGTTGCAGATCCGTATGTAAGCATGTGTATATATATATATATATATATGTATCTAAATATATATGTAGGTATGTATATACATATATGTATATATGTGTATGTGAAGTTATACATACATATATATATATATATATATATATATATATATAGTTATAGAGAGATGCATATAGCGATATCATTGAATATAGTAACAAGCTATAACACTTAATTCGAAAGGGTCTCTGGCGGTTTTTAAGCAGTTTCATTCAGCAGACTACTATCCCGTGTATAGTAAAAAAAGCAATCTGACAAGAACCCGGTATCTTGTCAGGACCACATAGTATGCTCCAAGAGAACCTGGACGGAGACAGCATACAATGTCTACGATGTGGCCTAAAGAGCCCGAAAGCCTACACTAGAAACTAAACCGCAAAACGTATCAGGCCCTATATAGATCCTAATTAAACTGAACCCATAAACCCTAAGCCATACATCGGGGGCTCTAAGAGAATGCCAGACCTTGCTTCAGGCGTTTTCTTGGACTTCGGACCCATGGTTATCTTTTCTCAAATAAGTCGGAAGAGAGAGTCGTGTTGTTCTCAGCTTTCTTCATATCGTCCAACCCTTTGGGTCTTGGGATCCGATGCATCGCTTCTGAGAGAAGGGTTCGGATGAATTTCCGGTGTAAGCTTCCGCTAAATAAAGTGTTTCTGGAGTACTGATCTACTGGGCTGGGCATTTGGATGGGGGGTTCCCTTGGAATAGACGAGGGCATGCCAAACAGATTGCTGGACGCAACAGCAGGATGTTCACCCAGAAAGCCCAATACCCCTTAATTAAGGAATTAAGGAATATAGCTTAAGCCATAATATGAAAAGGTATATTCCTTAGTTAAGAGGTATTGGGCTCTCTTAAGCTGACACTGCAGGCCTCGGCCTTCGCGGACTTGCTCACCATGGGCCCAAGGCCCGTGGTTGGGTCAGGCAGTGGCACAGGAAGCCAGGCACAGCTGCTGTCGGCAGTGGTCCTGAAACAACACTGTCTGGAGGCAGGAAGATGAAGAAGAAGCACGAAATATCAGGGAAACCAGCATCGGTCCCTGTCGGAATCGTCAAGAACAGAAATGGCGAACTTCCAAGGTGCCGCCGACACATGTCCACCACGCTGTCGCGCGACCCAGCGCGTTTCCCAGGGCAGAGGCTTTCTTGCGCTTCCTGCTGCTTCCTCCGCCAGCCACCCTCTTCTCGAGGGTCTCTTGCCCTAAGGGTCCATGTACCTAAATAGTATCTACATTGGCCTTAAAGTAGTTCCTATATAGGTACAGTGGGGCCAAAGTATATACTATTTGGGTACATGGACCCTTAGGGTTGTGTCGGCAGGAGCAGCCAGCTTCCAGTCTGGATTTCCACATCCGGCAGCTTCTCGATCTTGGCCATGATTTTTTTGACATCGGGACCAGATCTGTTGGGAATGCGAGGAGTTTGTCCCGACCCTCATTTAGGGTTTGGGGTTTAAGGTTTAAGCCGCAACAGATAAGAGGAGATCCCTGATTGGCACGATTCGGCAAAGCATAGCTTAATTAAGTTGACACAGATCCTGAAAGGACATTACATCCCTGCGGCTTCTACCTGATTCTACCTGCAATGTGGGGCCTTCCTCAGATAAGAAATACTTGTAAAGGTCGGTTGGTAAAGGACCACTCTTACAAAGGAACCTGCACGTATGGACTACGGCATTCTCAGCGGTGTGATCACGGACAAGTAATTAATTAACCAGAAGTCCCCGTCTAGGCCCTTCAAGACAACCAATCACTAAAGACGCCTGCGGACTGGTTGCCGGCCACTGCGGTAACAGACTGCCTTGTCGTTAAACCCCAGAACCCTAAAAACCCAAAGCCATGAACCCCTAACGCCCTACACCTCACCTATAGTTTCCATTGTAGTTCCTTTTTTTGGATAACCAAATTTATGGTTAGGATCCTATAATAGAGATTTTGGTCAACCAAAAAAGGAACTACAATGGAGACTATAGGCAGAAGCCCCAAACGGAGCCACTTGGTCCCCGGCCCAGTTGAAAGGCGTCTCTGCGGTGATGGAAGCAGTGATGGCATCCTTGCATGAAGGGCGTGCGAATCTTGGAGTTGGGGCTTTTGGACGTTCTACATGTTTGTTGTAAGGGTTGAACATTGGAAACAATGGGAAGGGCTGTGCAAGGGCTCATTCGATGCTTTGTAAGGTTTGTTTGGTTGCATATACAAGGGCTGAAGGCTATCAGGATTGGATTAGGGATTAAGGGTCATGGCTGAGCATATGGTTTAAGGGCTTTGGGATGGTATGCGGAAATCCTGAAACCCTTAGCCCCCGTCCGGAAGCGGCCTCCGAGATAGACCTGAATTGCTGAATGCAGGACGCGAAGAAGCACACCTGCATGCCCTAAGAATCCAAGGTGCTCTGTGGAAAAATGTGCGTATTTAGGTAGCCACCATGGACTACCATGGAATACCGTAAGGGATCAGTTTACCTAGCTTAGAATAGCAGTGATGCAGAAAGTATTTTGGGGAGTGTATGTTTATACCTGGTACTTGCCCTCAACCTAAAACCACAAACCCTAAACCTGCTATAGTTAATGGTATTTCCAACTTTCGACCTCGAAGTAAATATGACATGACATATAGTAAAGGGGTTTTAACTACTAGAATAGAGCTTTTGGAGATTTCGTGAAATTGCCGGGCTATACGGAAAGACTATTCGTAAATATCCCGACACCTACATTAGGCACTGAGACAGTACCCTGGCGGCCTCTGTCCCTATTTCTTCCCCCTCGTAGTACCTTCAGGACCCAACTGAATACCTCGAACCAGCAAAGCCTACCTTTTGCAGGATCGCTACAAATTACATGTTAGGGTTTTTAGGAAGCACCTGCAAAACAAGTTACTATACTAGTGGTATGCTGCATGTTACAGGGATCCTCAACGCCAGCGCAACCCCACATCCATGGTGCGGCCAAAGTGCGATAAGCGGTGCCGCCACTTGCTCTGCAGCAACCTCGGTCACTTCCAATGGCTCAACGTCCGTGGCCTACAAAACCCAACCCTCTTTTACAGAGTCCTATATGTAATGGAGTTGTACAGCAATGTTACCTTGGAATCCCCCAAGCAAAACTGGTTGTGCACACGATCCCTAAGGCTCCATGTACCCTTATAGTAGATACTTAGGCCTTAAAGTACCTATATAGGGACTACTTTGGGGCTTAAGTATCTACTATAAGGGTACATGGAGCCTTTGGGGATGTAGCAACTATCTATTATGTGAGGTCTTGTACTCGACGCCTGCGCATCCCAGGATTTATACAGAAATAAACATGAAAAATCTTGCAGTATTATATTGAGATAGAAGCGAAAGCTCTGAGGAGCACCCGGTAGAGGATTTCGGGCATCTTATATGGAAGTAAACATGAAAAAAAGAAAGGCCACCCACTTCCGTAGTATACTGATATAAAGATGAAAGAATCTAAGGAGCACCCAATGCAGGATCTAGGAAAACTGAGAGAATCTTACCTTGGTTAGTAGGGAAAGGAGGAATGGGGTACAATTATACCTACTATTACTACCATTCTTCCACTGCCTACTAACCAAAGGTGAGCTATAGGATTATTAAGGCCCCTATATTATAGTACCCTTATAGATCCTTATACTAACCCTTATAGACCCCTTTGTAAGGCCTCGTCCATTCTTCTTAGCCCCCCATCCTCCCAGCTTCGGACCAGGGCACTCGTGCCTGGACCTCCCTCTGCTCTGCAGAATGCCGGAGGTCCTTCATGTGTTCTGTTCCTAAGGATTCCTTTCGAGTGCTTCTTTTCGGGATTCCTTGAAAGGTTCCTTTAAAGGTTCCTTTAATGGATTCCCTTTGAGGGGTTCCTCAAAAAACTCTTTTCGAGGGCTTCTTTAGGGGATTCCTTTGAGGGTCTTATTTGTTCTAGGTTTCCTTGCTTCGGTTTAGGAAGAATGTAAACTCGACCAACAAAGGCGACAATGCCTCCGGACGAACATTATCTTTAGCCGGGATACCGGCCTAGGGTCTAGGGTTAGAGCTAACGACAGGCATCTGTGATGATCTTGACTAGACCAATATACACATCACTGATGTAGGTGGCTGCGATATTCACAGCCCAGTGCTAAGAGTCGCATGCAACCAGCGCCCTATCTTCGGCCGCAGCAGGGCTCATGGAGTGAGCGGCCTCTGATGGAGTATGTTCCGCCCTATGGGCCGGCTGTACCACATGATATTGCGTCGTGAGCGCGGTGTACTCCTCCACCAAAGGAGCTATCCACATTTCGATCTCAGCGTTGGGAGAGAGAGAGGATCCACCTTTCTGGTAGGAAAGAATATCTCCCGCGAGGTTTGTTCCTACTCCTGGAGAGCATGCACGGCTCCCTCACTAAACCCTTAACCCCGAACTAAACCCCTAAACCCAGAACCCCTAAACCCCGAAACCCTAAATCTATAAGTTCCGCCTCTTGTCGAGCTAAGCTCATACCATGAAATCCCAGAGCTCCGTCATCTGTAATCCCCTGGACCAATTACTGGGTTCTTGTTAAGGAGTGTAATTCAAGTTGCCCTAATAGGGATCTATAATAAAGGTGCCTCTAAGGGAGCTATTAGGGTTCCTTTAATAAGGAATAAGACTTAAGATTGAAGTTACCACAATGGGGATCTATGGTAAACAGTCTGGTTTCATCACCATGGCAACTTAAACCAGATCTCGGGCCCTTTACAGCCCACTGAACCCTACACCCCTAAGCCACACTTATACCCCACCCACTACAGGGACCTCCAGAAAGTTGGAATATGGTTTCATGATAGGATACCCTATAATTTACCATAAAGGGTTTAGGATAATCATATTCCAACTTTCTGGCATTTACTTTAGCATCCTGAAGTCTAGGCGTTCCTAGGTTGGCCATTTGCAGCCTTCGAAAAAAAAGAATAAGCAGGACTCCGGTGAAGCCCAAGGAAGCAGAACATGAACTATGGCACTGGCCTACCTAGTTGTTACCCCCCAAGGTTGGATCCTTAAATAATAGGAGCCCAGGGGCCTACCTAGGTATAGTATACATCCCACCCCCCCCAAAAAAAAAAAAAAAAACAGTATGAACCAGGGTCCCAAAGGCCTACTCAGCTATTATACCCACCCACCCACCACCCCCAACACCGCCAAATAGAATCCGCAAAAAAAAGAGATCTTTAAATTCAGTTGATTTTTATTTTTTTGGTGGGGGGGGGGTCCTCGCAAACATGACGCTGCATCAACGAAGCTGGCCATGGGCTTCCACACCTGGCGATGTGTTGTTGTTATTTTTTTTTTGGGGGTGGGGGCGGGAGGGGGGGATGGATTTTGAAGTTTCTGTGGTTTTAGGGTTTGTTTAAAGGCTTGGGGCTTCGGCATTTAGAGTTTTTAGGGTTTTAAGGGTTTTAAGGGGTGTCATTTAGTATCCTTCTGCTTCTTAGTTGTTTGTTGACTTTGCTATTCGTAGGCCCTTGTCCTTTTCGGGTCTGCAGTGCTCTCGAAGCCCGAAGTTCTGAAAATCAGGAAAACCTGAAGTCTCCATTGTAGTTCCTTTTTGGGGTTACCTTAAAGGATCCTTAATATATAATTGGTTAAACCTAGAAAAGGAACTACAATGGAGACTATAGGAAATTCCGAAGCCCTAAAAATTCCCAAACACCGCCCACCTTTCCAAGGACATGCAAAGCGAAATCATTACTTACAAGCAACACTAATGCTGGATGGAGTCTCTGTGAGGTCGGACCAAGCCCTAAATCTTAAACCCTGAACCCTAAACCCTAAACCGTAAACCCTAAAGCCCTAAATCCCTAAATCTTAAACCCTGAACCTTGAAACCCTGGAGTCCTTCTCTTGGGATGGCAGTCTCCGGATTACGAGCCCGGGATTACGCTGTGGTTGTTGGGGTCATTGGGGTTCAGAGTATGGGCGTGCTTGGAAGGGCAGGGGACTTAGTAAGTAGCTATTTTAGAGACTTATAAGTACCATAACCCCAAATTAGGGTCCCTTTACAGGCACTTATAAGTCTACTTACTACCTACTTAACCAAGTCCCTCGACCCTCCAAGTGGGGCCTGAGGTCGGGGTTCAGCAGGATTTAAGGTTTAGTGCTTGGGGCCACACGAGAGGTTGGCCGCCTTTTCTTGTAAACCCTATGCCATAAGCCCGACCCCCTACTTTTGATGATAAAAACCCTGCATTACCTTATTAAGGACCCTGAACTATGGGACTTATGGTATATTCCTTATTATTATGGGTAATGCAGGGTTTGTATCATCAACCGTTGTGCATCCCTCGGGCCCGAAGTGCTGGCCTGCCACAGTGGGCAAGGTGGCAGCCTGTTGCGTCGCGGAGTTTTGCCAGAAGGGTTCTTTCGGGTTTAGGGCTCAGAGCTTTCTAGGTGTTTCTCAAGGAAGCTATGAATTCTGCACGCTAGCTATATGTGTTGTACATGTAGTTATAAAGACCGTTATGCTGCCAAGGATCTTATAGTAAGGACCCAATAATACGGCCCCTGAAAGCACAGGGTACGCAATCATTATGAAATTGGGGTGCCAAAAGATCATCCTTAACCGGGGACCTGATGTTCTAGATTTACTAGTGCCGATGTAGTTACCCCCATATCCCTACAAGCACTTTTAAGCAGGACGCCCTGTGCTGCAAGGTCTAGCTATATCGATACATGGGCTCTCTAAAGCCCTCTTCTAGACCCTATAAACCCACAAACCATGTAAAAAACAACGCACATGGGCCTTGAGGCTTACGAGAGATTGAACCAAATACAATGTCCAATTCCTGCATGTTCAAATCTGAAGCTACCAGGCTGATGAACCTTGAACCATTACTCTACTCTTACAGGGAACTCCAGAAAGTTGGAATATGGTTTCATGGTAGGATACCCGATAATTTACCATAGAAGGGTTAGGATAATCATATTCCAACTTTCTGGCTTTTACTTTATAGGTTAATTAAACCCACACGGTAATGGGGGCTAGAACCGTAATATTCAGCATTCAACAGCTTACTATGACTAGAATAACATGGGGACTAGGCCCTGACACGTGCTGCGTTTAGTGTTTCTTCGCTTTCTGTTGTTGGGATTGGGTTCTACTAGTAAGGTATAAAGTCTTGATGTTCAGGGGCCCCTGAAATGGAGTCTTGCATGCTGGACTTTGCCCCTAAACACCGGCGGGAGGCTGCTCACGCCCTCGCACGTTAAATACAGAGCCTACACGCCCCAATACTTCTAAACTTTAAACCCTACGAGTACATCAACCACTAAACCCCAAACCTCAAACCCTACATCAAACTGCTGCGACGTACTCAAGCGGACCCCTTTTGACGACTACCCATAGAGCTCGTCCCCAAGCCCAATGAAGAAGCTGCCTGGGCAGGCCGCTGGGAACGGCTCATTCTGCCAAACTCCTGAAGTTGTCTCGGCATAGGGTTGGGGATTTTCGCAACCTGGGATTACGGTTTAGGACTTCGGGTCTCTATGGTTTAATTGTAAGGCCTTGCAGTTTAGGGTTTATGGGGTTAGGGCTTAGGATCTTAGCATGGTTTTTACGGTCAAACTTGATGGTTTAAGGAGGTCTGCGATATTACGAACGCTATTATAATAGTACAACCTGACTTGTCCAGTCTTCCAGGGGAACTAAAGGTGATTCTTTGGGACGACATATAGGGATTATCAGAAAGGTTAAAGGCTACCTGTTCTACTGCTACGCAGAATTACACCCGACCACCTCCGAGACCAAATCCTCTGAATGGCCGAGCCTGAAGGGTTTGAGGACATTCAGCTTCGGGATGTGGGGTTGGCCATGGAATTCAAGGGTTGGGGCATTTGGGATCCAGGTATATATGGGGGTTTCCGAAAACTAGGGGTACCTTATATTGAGGTCCTTATAATAAGGATCCTAGTATTTAGGGTACTATCTCAGGGTCCCCTATTTTCGAGAACTCCCATATTGCATATGGGTATGCAGGATCTTTAGAGTTTCGGGGGTATGGGGTTGACTCCACCTACAACAGCGATGCTTGTAGAGAGGGGCACCATTGCAGGCAACAAACATGCATGGTTTCTCCTAGATACCTATGTTAGCCTTGGGGTTCCTATAAAGTTATACTGTACTAGGCTTCATAATATCATTCTCAGTACTCAAGGGTATTTAAACCTGGCAGGGTAGGTCCCAGTCCTGGCGGCGGGGAAGGCAGAATTCCGGCGCAGCTGTCGCTGGTACAACAAAAGCCTGGCAAAGGTTTTGGTACGGTCGTGCAAGTATGTCGACGGCCATCATCAGCATCATCAGGACTGGTCCTGTTTGATTTGTACTATATACGCTTACCACAATCATCAGCACATCCTTCGAAAGTGGTGATGCTGGTGCTGCTCGTGGTGATGAGAACGGTGATTATGATTATGATGATGACAATGAGGATGATGACAATGATAGTGGTGGTGGTGGCGATGGTGGTGATGGTGAGTGTGATGATGATGCTCCTATGAATGTTGAAGTTGATGACCAGTACCGTCGTCATCGTCGTCGTCATCGTCATCATCATCGCCGTCGGCGTCATCTTCAGCATCATAAGCAGTTCCGTAGACAGCCGCAGCAGAGCAGCTGCAGCAGCAGGCGGCAGCAGGCAGCAGCATGTACCGAAGCAGAAACGTCATAAGCATCGCCGCCATGGCTGTCGTCGTCGTCGTCGTCGTCGTCTTGCCACCGCCATCGTCATCACCGTCCGACTCATGACCGCGACGATCGTTCTTACCCGCTTGTCCAGAATGGTTGTCAGCATCGCCTTGTGTACTTCACCACCTGCTTCCCTGTCATCAATGTTGTGTACCCGTCTCGTGTTTTTTGCTTCCGCGTGCGGATGCTTGCGAGGCTTCTCAGCGGTTGGATCGCTACGGTTCTGCATGGCATCACCAACATGTTGCCATATGTTGCCGACCCTTATAACAGTGAAGAAGCCTGCCATCCAACTCTGAGCCTCCATCAGCCGCACAGAGACACAAAGACCTCAAGACTCAAAATGCGAGTCTTCACTGCAACCCACAACCTGCAAACCCAACTCTCATCTCTATACACCCATGGAACACCCGAACACCCTCCTACCCTAAACCCTGAACCCGGGCCCCCGGAAGATGGCCGGAAAAAACCCTCAAACCAACAGCAAGCCCAAGACTTTTTCAGGAAGCACATAACTGATGAAATTAGCGCTTTCGAACTCGACACATGCAGGCTTTAGGGTCCCGGAAAGCCCTAAACCCCTATCTCCGAAAAAGTCTGTCATTAGCGCCTTTCCCTCCAACTTCTCGGAACTTCCGGCGCTGCTCCAGCTTCCTCGTGACTTCAGGGGTTTGGGGCTTTCGTGTTTATGTAGGACTCCGGGGTTTAGGTTTAGGGTTAAAGCTTGCAGTATAGGTTTGAGTTTTTTGCAATTTAGAGCTTCGGCTTAGGGTTCTAGGGTTCAGGGTTTAGGGTTCAGAGAACTGGGGTCTAAGGCCTAGGGCGGTTTCACCGTCCAAGTACCCAAATAGTGCATGAATACTCAAAATCCAACTAACCCCACCACACCCGACCCTTACCAAACCCTCATAGAATCAAAACCTCATTGAACCTGTGTAGAACCGCTAAATATTTTGGCCTTTCCTTTGGACCCTTCTTGGGTGATCATGGCGTCGAGTCAATTCATGCTTACTTGAAGGCTCAAAGGGCTCCTTAAAGGGATGTCTAGGGTTCCTTACAGGGATCTATGGGGTTTAGAGTTTAGGGTCTACTTGAAGGCTCATGGGACTTAGTAAGTAAGGTTATAAGTAGGTTATAATTAGGATAACCCCACTTAGGGGACTTATAACCCCAATTATAACCTACTTACGAAGTCCCATGATCCTCTAAGTAGGAGGAATGAAGGGTTAGACAGTGCGGTGGTTGTTGGACTGACTAGGGCCCGAATAACTAGAATCGGGGTTCTTCGGTTGTATGCTCGAAAATTGCAGTATAGACTTAAGCATAATAGTGGGCCAAGAACTCCTCAACAAATATATATATATATATATATACATATATCTATATAGTGAACGTCTACCTGGACGCCGAAAGTATGTAGAGAAACAGCCTTTGATGGGTGCTGGGATAGTATTTTGCCTACGTTGAAGGTTCGGGTGAAGCCAGACCACCTGAACCAAAAGCCACAAACCGTGACTCGTTTCGAACCAGGGCACACCCAGTCGTTTGGAGCGCTACAGCCAGCGATGACGTCCTGAGTTGCCAATGGGGATTGGATCAATCATGCAACCTACAACGCGTGGGTGTTTAGCTTCACCGCTCGCAGGTGTAAGTCTGCATGCTTCTTTCTGCCAGCCATGAGTCTCAACTGCCTGCAAGAACTTTCACGGCTACTAGCTTCGGCTTGTGTTTCAGTGGTCCCGGTCAACTGAATCGGATGCCTTACTTGTGGCTGCAGGTGTAAGCATGCTAAGAAGTCGTCCTTTAGATGAGTGATAGTCATAAGCGCGGGTGTGTCCCCTTATACTCTTTAGGGTCTTGTGTGGAAACTGTCCATCAACACAGGCGCAGAGACAGGGCTTGGGACTGCAAAGAGAAAAGAGCCTTTTGAAAGGAATGCTCGAATCGAAACCGACTTTGCCACCAGCCCAACTTGCCGAAAGGGAACAATGCATGCAATGAAGGGGCCTCAATAATCATACTATGTTTTTTTGAAACGGGGCTCCTTATTGTAGTTATAGTATGATGGGCCGCAAAACCATATTCTAATTATTAGGGCCTCTATATTATTCTAACGTGTGCAGACTGCCAGGGTCACAAGTCCCAAAACTCGCTTCGCGACAGAAGCTTGCAGTGCAGAGAGCAGAGAGATTCCAGTCCGGGTTAGTATATAAACTAACACACCTGGACGTCAAAAGTATGTAGTATAAAGCATGTTATGGGTGTTGGGCCATTGGTTTACTTGCATTCGGGGGGGCGTCGGGTAGTACATACTTGAGCCTTCCGGGCTCGTTTTGCTGCATGGGCATCATCTTGTGTCAAGGGGGTGGCTTCTTGCCGAAGGACCTGTCCTCAATGTGGCTTAGGTAAGCCCCGGTACAGTATTTAAAGGGCTAGAGGACAGGTGTCAAACGTACCTTGTAAGAGGCATTGATCAGAGAATATGACAGCATCTTCATCAACCAGTGATTAAACCCAGCCACACACTCAGCAAAACCCCCAAGCACTATGCTCACGCACCTAACCCTTGTGTACCACGCGTGGCTGGAACAAAACATGTGCACGACCAGAAAATCTGCAGCCAGGATGCCACATCCCGCAAATTATGCCCCGGATTCCTGAGAACGGTTTGGCATTAGTGTGGGGCCTAGGTTTAGAGGCTATGGTGTCGAGTTCCGGGTTGGGTGCTTGGGAGGCGAATTCAGGGTTTGCGGCTGTGCAGACTGCAGCGGTTGCAACGGCCACGGAGTCTGTAGCATCATCACGATTACTGCTACATGCTGCTATTAACGAAAAGTTTCGTTCTTGTTATGTTGACTCTTATTGCCAGGCACTCCGATCTGTCCGTGCACTAGCACGTCTTGTTTATTCATACCTTTCCTTGTATTAGTACATCGAAGATTCAATATCTAAGGCCCTTTCGGGTTTAGGCTACCCTTTCGGATTAGTCTTTTCGTTGAGGGAGTTAAGCCTTACGTCGGGTTGGTTTAACCCAAAAAACTCCTAAGGCGTGGCCTGCACTGTAACCCAAGTCCTAAACCCTACTTGGAGGTTCATGGGTAGTTATATGTAGGGTTATAAGTATAGGTTAACTACACTTATAACCCATATTTGGGGACTTATAACCTGACTTACAGCTACCCCTGAACCTCCAAGCAAAGTAAACCAAAACGGTTGCGGTCGCTGATGGGAAGGCAGGTGCCCGGCGGCGTCGAGGTCTGGGGATGAGGATGTACAGTCCTTACCTATAGTCTCCATTGTAGGTCCCTTTTTTGGTTAACGCATTCTATGGTTAGGATCCTATAATTGAGATTTGGGCTAACCAGAAAAAGGGACTGGCCACATTGGTTGATCTCATCTTGCATTTCACGCAGCTGGCAGCGTATCTTCAGCGTCTCACCGTCGGCGGTGCCCGTCCCCCAGCTCTGGATGGACGCGCGGATGCTGTCCAGCTTTCTGTGCCCCCCCATCACGCTGGAGACGACCTCTTGGCTCAGTGAGGAGACCTGGTTTCCGCAGCATCCTCCGCGTGGCTTGACTGCCCTCTGAGAAAGGTCCCCGATGGTGATCATCAGCTCAGTGCACGGACATTCTCGCCGTGTTCTGGAATACTGTCAATCCCGTCAGCGTAGAAAGTAGCTTCTCACTGAGGGGTTGAAAGGCTTCTTTCATAGCCATCGAGGTTTCTGGCAGTGAGGCAGTCTTCAGGGCCCAAGAGTAACCTAGGAATAAAAAGGGTGCCCTTTTTGGTGTAAAGGGGGTTATAAGGGAACCTAAACCCTAAAAAAGGGAATAAGGGCCTACTCCGGGTCCCAGTCTTCCACCATAACCAACGAAGCCCCGCAAACCTAAGCTCCCCCCCAGGCCTCAAACTCCCAACAACCACAACCCGAGCCCTAATAGCAGCTTCGAAAACCGGGTAAGTCTCTCAAAGGACCCCGAAACTTGCTGCGACCCGGGACCTCTGTAAGACCACAAGGGAATGTACAAGGTACCAAGAACTTCCGGCTGACTAAGGCCTAACCGGCCAAACCCCAAAAATCAACCCTAGGCTAGACAGCCCCTTCAAATTGTCCCCGGCTCTTCCCCAAGTTTTCTACAGAACCCAGGCACGATGGCCTTAGGCCTCAAAAAACCATAGCAGGGTAGACGACACTCTACAAAGCCTGTTGTTTTTGATGCTATGCAACCGACCTCAAAAAGGCAGGACCGTTCAGATTTCCACAGGAGCCGAGAGGCAAGGGGCAGGCGTGGCCGTTGGTGAGCAGGTGCTGGCGAAGGCACTGTCTGCATACAGCGTCCTGGGCCCCAGGCTTGCGAACGGGTTTATCTGTCGTCTCCATGGTCGTTAATTCTTTGGTTGAACCACGACCAAAAAAAGTCACCCTAAAGGGAACTTCGACGGAGACCATCGCTAGGGCTTTCGGGTCTAGGGCCCAGGGCAAAACAAGGATCCTTGCATCCGGAACGGCAGATGCCCTTTCGAGAAGCACGACCGCAACTGTTGACGATATAAATCCTGCATGACCCATAATAAGGAATATACCATTGTTCCCATAGTCTAGGGTCCTTAAAGTAATGCAGGACTTATATCATCAACCTTAAACCCAAAACCCTATAGATCCCTTGAAGGAACCCCCAAAAGGTACCCTTATAGATCCCTTTAAAGGAACCCCAGGATTTATATCATCAACAGAAGTAGTCCCTTCCCCGATCCCCGGCCTCCTACCGTTGGATCAGAAATAAGGCCGACCCCTGGACTCGTACGGTAGACCCAATAAACGAGGAATTAGGGTGTAGGGTTTGAGAATTAGGGTTTAGGCATTATAGGGTTTAGGGTAAAGTAAGCCCCATAAAGTTGGAAACCGGATTAAGGCCAAATAGTGCTGGGATTCCCTATACATTGCCCTTAAGGATTCAGGCTATGAGGTTTCAAACTTTTGGGCTTCTACAGTAATTCAGTTTCACGGCTGGCCTCACAGCACTGCAACACGATCCACCGTCGGTTGTGATCGAAGTCACCTGCAGAGCCATTCCGCACCTGCACGGCCGGGGGTTCGATGAAGCGGCAAGCATTCCGGGGTTTTAGGATTGGGGATGCGGGTTTAATTTTAAGGTTGAGGGTTTAAGGCTTAGGGTTGAGGGTTTAAGGCTTAGCGTTGATGGGTTAAGGCTTAGGGTTGCGGGTTAAGGCTTAGGGGCTGAGGGTTTAAGGCTTAGGGGATGAGGGTTTAAGGCTTAGGGGATGAGGGTTTAAGGCTTAGGGGATGAGAGTGTAGGGATTAAGTCTTAGGGTTCGAGGTTCTGGTGTTCCAGGGGGCTTCAGGGCTCAAAGCTTGAAGCTGAAGCAGACCTTGCAACCCCCACGGTTTAGGGTTTAGGGCTTAGGGCTTAGGGTTATTCCTCCAAACACAAAGCCATCGAATCCCACCTTTTGCTTTGGCCGGGAAGGGTAAGAAAGGGGCCATAGTAGTAGAATAGGGTTTTGGGGCCCCGTATACGACAATTATCAAAAAGGAACTCTCGAAATATTATTGGTATTTCCTGGAGTGGCCCCTATATTATACGAAATCTAGAGGGCGGTAGTGGACTTCGGGGTTCTGAGCTCTGCACGGAAAAGTGGAGCATCCTGAATTCAGCATCCGTCGGCTTGGAGCCTTACCCTTCAACTACGCTTATTTTTTGGGGGGGGTTCTATAAGCTCTGTATTCGGGGTTTAGAACAAGAAGGGTAGGTCATGGTATTTTGAAGTGAGCCTACAAACCCTCAAACAACCACACTGAACGTCAAGCTCTATTGTTAATCCTACAGTCGTGAGCAGTAAAGTCCAACCCCACTCAGAAAACCCTAAACCCTAAACCCTTAACCCTTAAACCCCGAAACTCTTAAACCACAACCCTCACGCACTAAATCCCCAACATCCAGGCCTTTGAGGGTTCCTTAAAGGGATCCATAAGGGTTCTATAAAGGGTTTAGGGTTTAGGGTTCCTTTAAAGGGATCCTTTGAGGGTTCCTTAAAGGGAAGATTTGTTGTGTGTTGGGCTGCAAGCTTCGAGTCTTGGGTCTCGCATGGTCTAATCTTTCGGTTTCAAGGCTTCCAGGTTCAGGTTTAACTAATATGCTTGGAGGCTCCTGGGTAGTTATAAATGCTGTTATAAGTCCCTCAATGTTGGTGATGCATATAAGTATTTACCTTAGACTTATAACTTATAACCCCACTTACTTATTACTACCCATTAACCTCCAAGTAGGATCTAGATACTTGGGGCTCGTGGCTCTGGGTGTAGGTTGTGCGAATTTGCGGGTTGAAGTCTCGAGCTTGAGTTGTTGGGTTGTTCTTGATCTCTTTTCCAGCTTCCTTGCAGTTTAGAAGCTTAGAACCTTAGAACCGTAAGCCTGTCGGCCGTGAACCCCAATTCGGGCGCCTCGAGGCAGATCGGGCAGCGCATCTCGGCATCTTCCGAAGGCACTTGGTATTCTTCGTAATCCAGGTCCTGCTGCTGGCTCACTTCTTCAATGACTAGGACCAAAAAACTTCAAGTCTTCCAAGATAGACCAACCATATAATGCAAGAAGTTTACCGTTCTCCCATCGGCTCTCTAAGCTGATTAAGCTGATGGACGACAACCCGTGATCCAACATCATCGGGAGTGTGCCAGAACTCCGACGGCCTCCACCGTCGTTTCTGAATGTAGCTCGGACATCTGCTGCGCTGCTTAAGGCGCATTGGCGACCTGCAGGGAAGGCCAAAAAGCTGCAGCATGGAACAAGGATGATGGAGAAATCTACAAGTAAACCGTATAATCAGTATAGCCCAGAAATTTGAACAGGGCATTACAAGCAATTAAGGATCAACCTTACCTTAACGGCATGATCATAACGATGTCCCAACTTTCTGGCTAGTACTCCAGCCAACATTCGAACTTTAGGGCTCATCATGGCTTCTCCGGTTTGGGGCATTTTGGGGCTTGGAGGCTAGAGCTTCTGCAAGGGTTCTTAAACAGCAGGGTTTACGAAGTTCGAGACTCATAGACTGTGGGAGCTACCCAGCGAGTGGATTCCCGTTCCGCAATCCAGGTAGTCGGAGCGGTCCAACACCAATCCCTGAGACTCCATGTGCCCATTTGGTAGGTAGTAGGTACTTAGGCCTTAAAGGGGTCCCTATATAGGTACTTTATGGCCTAAGTACCTACTACATGGGTACATGGAGCCTTTGGGAATGTGTGCACGAATGGTTCTGGGCATCTTTTCATGACTTGGCAGGTACGAAGCAAAACTGGTTGTAGACCTGGTTCAACAAAGGAGCCGGTCTCAACACTATACTCGGGAAGCAAGTTTGTGCAGACCCTAAACTGGCCCTAGACCCTGTAGGCTCTGGGCTGTGGCCTGAACCAAAGCCCCCTCTTTGTCTGCGACCCCAAACCCTAAACCTCGTACACATCAGACATGATCCATCAAAACTCCTAACTCTAACCCCTATAATCCTATAACCCCCGAACTCCCAGCAAGAAGCCTCAGAACTCAAAACTCCTGCGAAAGCCCCAAACAATCAGTTTTCCATGAAGGTAGCTGTCAAATAAAAGGGCTCCTTCTGGACACCCTAAATGTTAGGTGCCGTATTATATTCGGGACCCACAAAGGGACCAGATTTTTGACAACCACCCATGAAGACCCGCCTGCCGACATCTTGGAAGATCTCTAGCTCAGAGCCCACGATGCGACGGGTGTTTCTTAAGTGCTTGCTGTGGAAAAAAAGGGGGTGTGGCATTTAACTAGGATGGTCAGGTTTAGGGCTTTGGGGTTCAGGAGTTTACTGCTTCGAGGAGTTTCGGAGGTAGTTTGGGCGTAGGGCTCTGCTTTTAGTATCTAAATCTAGACCCTAAACCCCCAAACCCTGAACTATAAACACAAAACCCAAAACCCTGCACCCGAAACACTGAATGCGGCAACCGAAGGATAACACTGACTTTCGCGATGTATACAGACATATATGTACATGTACATGCATATCTATATGTTTATGTACACACTACAGAATGCATACATATCGGGACTCTAAGCGGCATGGGGGTCGAGGTCGGATTTGGAGTTTGAGGCCTGGGGGTTTAGGGTTGATGTTCTAGCTTTGCAGGCAGGAACCCCTAAGGGTCCAAAGAACCCAATAACTAGGTACTCGGGTGTAGGATAGTAGTTATGTAGGTTACCAGTTTGGAGAGTATATGATCATTACGTACTTCGGTTGATGATATAAATCCTGCATGGCCCATAATAAGAAATACGCCGTAATTCCCAGAGTTTAGGGTCATAAGGTAATACAGAATTTATATCATCAACCCTAAACCCTAAACCCCTACAGATCCCTTGAAGGAACCCCTAAAAAGGTACCCTTATAGATCCCTTTAAAGGAACCCCAGGATTTATATCATCAACCGTTGGGCCCTTGGGGAATGAGGGTTCAGAGGGTCGATTTCAGCTTTAGGTTCGGGCTGGGGGTTGCAGAGGTCCCAAAATTATGTTAGGGTCCTTTAAAGGGGTACTATAATGAGGGTACCATAAGGGATTCAGGGTACTATAGGGACCTGAATAATTCGAGTAGGGTTTTGGGGACCTATTATACTATAGTTGCAAAAAGGAGCCCCCAAGATAGTATAGGCAGTTATTTGGGCCACTATAGTAGGGCTTGTGTGGGTCTGACGACAGGAGTTGGTGATGGGCCCTGTAACCTCAACTCTAAACCGGCGAATGCCATGTCAACTGGAAAGCCCGCGACCGAATGATGCGAGGATGATCCGTGCATTACCCTGTGGAGTATTGGCATAAAGCGTTGCTCGGTACAACAAGCCCACAATCATGGTGCCAACCATTTAATCACAACATCACCGATGGACACACAAGTCTGGGGAACCATGTGGGTGGTTGTCAAAATTAGGGTCCCATTTTGGTACCCCAAATATTAGGTGCCGCACTATAATAAGGACCCAAAGAGGGACCGTAATTGTGACAACCACCCATGTGACGACGAGCTCTCGCACATTCGCCAGCCCTGGCTCTAATTTGGGGGTTTCCGAAAATAGGGGACCCTAATGTAGTACCCTAAATAGTAGGATCCCTATTATAATGACCCTAAATAATAGGATCCCTATTATAAGGACCCCCAAATAAGGTACCCCTATTTTCGGAAACTACCATTTTTGCATCTCGAGGCGCACTTCCTTGCGAAGGTTTGTCCCTAGGTTCTCAGCTCCGAGACCTCGACTCTAACCAGGAACCCCCAAGTGCCCTTTAAAGGGCTCTAGTATTTCTCATTAAGAGGTAAGTAGGGGTTACCATAAAGGGTAGTTGGGTGGTCTAGGAAAGCCTAAACCTTATAAACCTTAAGTCTTGGACACTAACTCCCCCGAGGCGGTGAGGAATTTGCAGGACGCCATCCCCAGCAAAGGGAAATCTGAGAGTGCAGAAAGCTGCCTGGGACGGCATGATGAATCTCGACGTGGCAGCTTTAGCAGATTAGGGTATCCTTTAGGCTTTAAAGTTTAAGGTTTAGGCTGTTCGCCCCCTGACAATATTCCAAACAATACAGTTGGATGAAAGCGCTATCTTAATGTAACATTTGAAACCCAAATCCTGCCTACCCGGCGGCGGACCCGGACGGTCCTACATGGCCCAAGCCGACTCAGAAGGGACTGATCGTCAAATTGTCGATTGCGGCCTGGCTACCCATAGGCCCCAAAGTAGTTCCTTTTTGGGATTACCTTATTGGATTCTATATATGAGCCTGAAAAAAGAACTACTTTGGGACCTTAGGGTACTTAGGGCCACTTAGGGTTGAGGGTTCAGGGACTTGCAGGGTCTGGAAGGTTTTTGGCTTTCAAGGTTGCGCAGGTTCTTCTCCAAAGGCTTCTACAGAGGCTCTTTCGGTAGTCTTGGGGATTTTTTCGGGCTTCTGCAAGCGTGGAGGTCTTCATACTGGGACTTGGTACCTGTACGCCGTAAGAGCCGTAAGAGGCTTTTGGGGTTGCCATATAATCAAACTATGACAGCACCCCTAAAAAAGATGAGAATACTTTCGACTCCTGTATGCTGGGTATCAAGTTCGGGGCCTAGGAACTCAGATATCAAGCTTTGGCAGAGAGAGACTCCTGATGTATGGGCCGGAAAAGCCTTATCGTCCTTGGTATGACTATATGGTATGACCATCTTCACAACCCTGTCATAGTGATACCTTTCTAAACCCGTCGGGTTGTCCCAGCCTGATACCCTGAATATTTTCTGGAATTAGAATAAATTAGACGACCGACGCTTCTGTTGACCGGTGACATGTGGGTAGTTCCCTAAATCAAAGTCCCGTGTTAGGTCCCCAAAATAGCACGGCACCCCTATAAGAAGAGGAGACTAAAACGTAAGTCTAATTTGGAGAACTGCCCATGCGTTAACAGGACGAGAAGGCCGGTCTTCAGGGGTTTAGGGTCTAGAGTCTAGGGTAACTCTTTCCGAATGCTTTACAGTAGGGCTCCTGAGCCTATGTTCGACCTCGTAGGCCCTAGCCTCAGAGGTCACACACGGGCCTGGATCACGACGAAGGCCAAAATGACAGAAAGGTCGATGCCGAAGATGGGAGGCATCCACCCCCTAGAAGCCGGCTTCTTGGGATCTGGACTTCGGGGTTTTCAGGATGAAAGTAAACCTTAACCTACCAAAACCTACTTCTTTATAGGATCCCTTTAAATTCCAAAATAGGGCTTATAATAAGAACCTTCTAGGCATCTCGGTTTTAGTGATGAAAGTACCCAGAGTCTCCATTATAGCACCTTTTTTTGGTTTAACCAATTATATAATTAGGATACAATGGAGACTATAGGTAAAGTTGGGTTTACCTGTGGCTTCTCACCCTCAACCCGAAACACTCGACCCTAAACCTCTGCAAGGACTTTTGGTTGAGCAGGGACGGACCTGGTTGACACGACTTTACAGGGCCCCTTACGAGCAGCTTACGAGGGTCCTTGCAATGCTTCGATCTTTCAGCGCTTTAGGGGTGTTACGGCTGCTTAGCCGGATGTATGGCCTTCGGTCCAAAGGAGTTCGGGGTTGGGACGAAGGAATGTTGGGCTTGCATCCGTTATGCCGCAATCTACCCAGATATTCCAACGGCCCTCTACTCAAACCACGCCCTTGGGGGTCCTGGTAGATGCGAAAAGCCGTGTAGCCCAAGCGCATGACCCCAATATCAACCGGAATCATAGGACCGAAATCTCACATCGGGGCCCTACCCCTTCCAGGCCAGAAAGAGGACTTTCGGTATTGATATCAACGTGTCTTGGTATGACTACGGTTGTGCTTCTTTTGACGATGATGATATAACTAATGTTTTAGCTCTCATGGTTTATACATGTACGTATGGTTCTGCTTATGATTACGATTCAGATTAATATCCGCATCATTGTACTTGCGATGGTGATTATGTTTACTACTGCGTTAAAGACTATTTATTCGTGTGACAGTTATTGTTGCTATGAAAGAGATTTCTCTCTGCCTGCAAAGACGCAATCGACATGTGATGTAAGCCCGAGACCTCGTAAAGAAGGTTATCACCTATACTCAAATGGGAAAAGGAGGGACCCTTAATGTGGACCCCTACCCTATAATGGGCTATATAATGAGAATATAATAGCCATATTAAGGGTATATACCGAGGGGTCCTTATTAA